GTAATTAAGGTCCAAATAATAACAAACAAAATTAATTAGTTACTAAATCATTCTTTCATTATTATAAATTAAGAAAATGAAATGCCATTCAGTCTTTGTAACTGATTTATGTAAAGAAACTCAGAGATAATCAAATGATATTTTACAAAAGAATTAAACTCTTAAACCAAGATTGTTGCTTTTACTTATTAAAGGAAATTGTTCTACTATTTTATAGTATATATTTAATATGAGAGGTAGAAATATCTAATAATGTAAGAGAATTTTTTAAGGGGAAAAAATTTTGGTTTTCATTCTACTTTGTGATTATATATGACTCCGTTCCTTGACCAAGTAGAGTTTCCAATCATTTAGTTAGCCAAGCATGTTTTGGACCAGATGATAACATAAAATTTTATTTCGTTATTCCAACTAATATCAATTTCTCTAAATTATTTTTAGCTAATGCTCATAATCAATAAAATTAAAATGAAACAACAAAAATAATTCCCTCCAACCTAAAATAAATTTTACAAAAAGGATAAGTGTTAGATAGCCTTCAATTAATGGTTATTCTGGACTATCGAAATACTTTGACAATTGATTATTAATTTGTACTTGGATAACAAAATATTCTTTTTTTTGAAAACTTGAGAACAAATTATAAGGAAGCCTTTGATTATCAACATTTTCTATGCGCTCGCTTAAATATTCTATAAATTATTTTTGCACATTATTTTTCTAAATGATTATTTTGGTATTATTCATCCACCAGACAATTAAAAAAGGAGGCCTTTAAAATTTATCCTTCTTTTTCGTATTTAATTATATTTAAAATTTGTTACTTATTATTTTCTATATTAAACTTTTGGATGGGTGAAAAAGAAATTTCATCTCTTCTTAAAACTCAGGATATTAATTCCCAAATCTTCAAATTGAGAATTTTTATTATTTCTTCAGAAGGATATGAAATAGATTGAAGCGAAAAGTAATTGTTAGTATGTTTGTATTTTTAAACTAATTAAAGTTCTGAATTTTATCTGGTAATTTATTCAACGGAATAAATACTTTACTTTTTTTTTTGTCAAGAAAAACCAAATTGTTATAAGAAATGCATAAATCAGGCTATGATTCATGCTGAAATTAATTGGAGGAGAATATTGATCGACTTGAATTTATATTTGAATAGATAACTCAAATGAACTCAAAGTAATTACATTAAAGAATGATTTGACTGATTACAACGAAAATATTTTAGATAAATATGATTACAAGTATGAATGCAATAACCCAGTATCTTAAAGTACAAGGTAGAATATTTTTGATACAAAATTAAAATTCGATTGAAATATTAAAAGCCCTAGTAATTTACTAATGCAATATTTACAATAAAAGTAAATAATAAAGAATTTTTTTTATATCTAATTAATAATTAAAAGCTAAATAAATTAGAATCAATAAACTCTTAAAATAACAAAAATGTTACATCGAAAACTTTTTTGAATGGCAAAGCACTTTATCTAACAAAGAGTTAGTTTGAAATAATTATGAATAGGTTCGAAAAAATATATATTTATGACATGTATGAGAATTCTAGTGTTTTTAATAATTTTTATTCCCATTTAAGCAGAAGGATTTTTTATAGACTCTTCAAATAACAAATTCTATTATTTCCTCTAATCCATGACCTAGCTCTAACTAGTTATAAATTTAATAAAACATAAGAACTCTCAATAAATAGCAGACTGTTTAATTTGTAGTTCCATTAATGTTAAATTCTACTACTATAAATTATAATTCAGTAAATTAATTGTCAATTTCAAATAAATTATATTTCACTAAAATGAGGATTTACTATTTTCTGGAAGTTATGACAAATCAATCAAAGTTTGGAAGGTTGACTTTAATCAAAATTAATTAATATTTCTATATTCATTAGATAAACATAATGATGAGGTTATGTCATTAAGTTTAAATTAATCAGAAGATAAATTAGTATCATGTGCAGATAATTAGAATCAAATTATTATTTGGGAAAGGAGACAAAATAATCAGTTTGAATTCAAGTATTTTGTTAAATAATCAATTTAAGAAAAAGGACTTAAGGTTAAGTTTATTAAAGATAATTAATTTATTTGGATAACTGGTGGTAAAGAAATAGATAAACTTTATGTGTTTGAAATAGAATAAGGAATCTTTTAAGAAAATAAGGACAAGACAATTTAATTAATTGCAAATAATCAAAATGTTGATGAATATCGTTTTCCAATTGTTTATAATAAAGAGAGGAATTTGATATTAGTAAGGCATAAGACATATATTTATATCATCAGAGAAATTAATGATGCCAAATACAAAATTTATCATTAACTTAATTGTGAAACAATTGGTATTTTTGGAACTATCACAAATAATGGGTAATATTTGGTATATTGGGATAGCAAAAAGTAAGAATATTCAACATATGAATTATTAAATTAATGAACTATTATGGATATTTATATAATTTATGATATTTTTCTAAAACATCAAGCGCACAAAATACGATTAAGTTTATAAAAAATTTTGATTCTAACCTTTGACAAAGAATATAAATTTCAATTGAGATCTCTACAACAACTTTGAAACTTCATAACAGAGAGTCAAACGATTTCTTTCAATTTATTTATTTTTAGTTTTTTTCAGGTTTTTTCTTAATATTAAATACTGTTTACAATTTAAATTAAGTTGTAAAGAAATTTATTCTTAATAGAAAAAATATAAATTTGATATTAAGCTAAGATGTTCTAAAATCTTTGTTCAACCGATTAAAATTGTTGATTTTAATGGTTTACCAGATGTACTCGGATGCCTTACACAAGCAAAAGTATCCTTTTTGTAACAGAAAGAAGGTTTGAACAAATTTGAAAGAATGAGCCCTAGATGAAAATAATTTGATGGCTCAAAAAGTTAGTAAAAGAAACCGATTTTCAAAAATAATTTCTGCTCAAATTTTCCTTGAGGATGGTTATACTTGCTTTAAACTGATTGAAGTTGAAAAAAAGCATCAATTGTTCTCTGTCTACTTCTTAGATCAGTTCTTCTAATTGCTATAAATAATAATCCCTAATATCAAGATTCTAATATCAAGATACTTATAGGTTGGAATTTTTAAGACTATCTAGGTTTCTCTTTGGATGTTGTAGAAGTAGCACAATAAAAGTAAAATTAACACCTTTGCCGTATTTTTAAAGAAAACTTTCAAAATCAGACATTCTTCTTCTTTTCCAATAAGTATTCATATATAATTCTTCTTTTTACTTTCAGATCCTCTCAACTAAATTCTAGTTGCAGAGAGAGTTAAATTTGTATTGTTTGTAGGCAATATTATATTATATCCAGATCTAAAATTAGAATTCAACTATTCTTAAACTCCTCATTAATTCGCAACATATAGTTACGTCATTTATTAACATCAACAACCCTATAAGTATAATAGACTCATCAGACTTAGATAATTCTTTTTAATTTATTGTTAATGTTAAACAAACTCA